CCCTGGGATAAATCCTACTTGATCATAGTGTATGATCCTATGATCCTTTTAATGTATTGTTGGATTTGGTTTGCTAATATCTTCTTGAGGATTTTTGCATCTATGTTCATCAGTGATATTGGCCTGTAATTTTCTTTTTTTGTGATATCTTTGTCTGGTTTTGGTATCAGGATGATGGTGGCTTCATAGAATGGGTTTGGAAGTTTTCCTTCCTCTGCAATTTTTTTGGAATAGTTTAAGAAGGATAGATGTTGTTAACTCTTTAAATGTTTGATAGAACTCACCTGTGAAGCCATCTGATCCTGGACTTTTGTTTGTTGGGAATTTTAAAATTACTGATTCAATTTCATTCCTGGTGATTGACCTGTTCATATTTTCTGTTTTTTCCTGGTTCAGTCTTGGAAAATTATACTTTTCTAAGAATTTGTCCATTTCTTCCAGGTTGTCCATTTTATTGGTATATAGTTGTTCATAGTAGTCTCTTATGATCCTTTGTACTTCTGTGGTGTTGGTTGTAACTTCTTTTTCATTTCTGATTTTATTGATTTGGGCCTTCTGCCTTTTTTTCTTGATGAGTGTAGCTAAAGGTTTATCCATTGTGTTTATCTTTTCAAAGAACCAGCTTTTAGTTTCATTGATCCGTTCTATTGTTTTTTTAGTTGTAATTTTTTAATGAACTCTACTGTGTGGTAAAACTATGAATCATGATTTTCAGTAAATTCTACTACCAGTTCATATATAAGTTCTAGAATGTGAGCTATAACAAAGTTTAACTCTCCAGCCTCAAGTGTGCAAACTCTTTTTAGTATGCACTTAGAAATGCTTGCCTGAATATGTGATTTCTAAAATAGAAGGTGATATATCCTTTATAAATTTATATATTCCACTTTATTATCTCTTTCTCTAGAACATCAATTCACAAGGACAGTTCATAATTAGTTAGCCCCTCTTTTTGACTTGACCTTAGATGACTATATTTTCTCTAAATACTTACTTGCTGTTGTCAGCTATGGAAAGTTGGGTTTAGGGTCGAATTTCCTCCTCACATTCAGAAACTATCCCAGGACCAGTTTTTCATTTTTCCTCTGCATTGTCACTAATATTTGACAAGGGATCCAAGAAGACTTAATGGGGAAAGGAGAGTCTTCTCCATAAATAGTGTTGGGAAAACTGTTTAACCACGTGAAGAAGAATGAAACTGGACCCCTCTCTTATACTATTTTTAAAAAAGTAACTCGAAATGAATTAAACATTTATGTAAGACCCAAAACTATAAAACTCATAGAAGAAAACGTAGGGGGAAAATCTCCTTGACATTGGCTTTGGGAAAGACTTTTGGACATGACACCAGAAGCACAAGCAATGAAAGCAAAAATAAAGTGGAAGTACATCAAACTAAAAAGCTTCTGCACAACAAAAGAAATAATCAGCATTAAAAGGCAACCTATGGAATGAGAGAAAATATTTGCAAGCCATCTATCTGAAAAGGAGTTAATATCCAAAACATATAAGGAACTCATACAACTCAATAGCAAAAACCCAAACAATTCCATTTTTAAATGGCAAAGTATTTAAAGACACTTTTCCAAAAAGAGAGACACAAATGGCCAACACATACATGAAAATATGCACAACTTCACTATCAGCAAAATGTCAATCAAACATATATAAAGAACTCTAGGGCTTCCCTGGTGGCGCAGTGGTTGAGAGTCCGCCTGCCGATGCAGGGGATGCGGGTTCGTGCCCCGGTCCGGGAGGATCCCACATGCCACGGAGCGGCTGAGCCCGTGAGCCATGGCCGCTGGGCCTGCGCGTCTGGAGCCTGTGCTCCGCAACGGGAGAGGCCACAACAGTGAGAGGCCCGCGTACTGCAAAAAACAAAACAAACAAACAAACAAAAACATATATAAAGAACTCTTAAATTCCTAAATGTAGACTATGGTATATTTAAAATGTTAGTATATGTTACCAGGTTCTTTTCCAGAAAGATGTACCAAAGTACTATCCCATTAATTTTGCCTATCCTGGGAATTATTGTTATTTTTAATCTTTGTCTGTTCGATTGATTGAAAACAATACTGTTTTGTTGCTTTAATTTAACTTTCTCTGACTATTTCTAAGGTTGAGAAACTTGTTTATGAGCTGGTCTTCTGTCTCCAAAATTAACTCTAAACAGAGTTAATAAAGTACCCACTAAAGTGAAAGTTCTAGTTGAATTATTTATTTAGCAGGTAGAAGTTAGAGAGAACAGTGTTCCAAAGAATCATGTAATTGTAGAGTTGAAAGGGACCTTAGAGATCTTCTAGCTTAATTTTGAGTAATCCTATGGTATGATTTGCTCCCTGTCCAAAAAGCAGTGACCTGAATGCTACTAAAACTAGAGAACTTAGATTAAACACTAGTGAGTTAAGGAAGAGAAGCAGCAAATGGGAAGAAAGTCTAAACTGAGTAGGAATGAGCATGACAACAAAGTTGAGGGAAGATCACAGAGAACAGAGGAAAAGGTTAGTACCACCCTATAGATGACTATTGGTAAGTCCTGCCAAGAAAGGAATTGGTGGGTACAGTGGCAAGGGCCCTGGGTCCCAGGGGCTGTCAGATGGGAGACTGGCTTCTCTAGATCAGGGCAAGTAGACCCTGCTGCTGACCCTGCTGCCAGCAACAAATGTGCTGGAAGCTGAATCCAGACAGACAGACAAATGTTGGTGTCCTAAGGATAAGTCAAGAAAGCACATACCCTAACAGAGACAGGACTCACGTTCTCATATGGGGGAGGTACAAAACAGCAGCCCACAGTAATTCTACAAAGTGGAATTCAACCACCACTGCTATGTTTGGAAGGATAACTTTTGGTGGTTGTATATTTGAGGCCAGAGAGGGGGGTTCACCTCCTAGATCCTTGGATGGTCACAGTTGCTTCCCAAGGAAGCCTGGCAGATAACCTGACTTTTTTTTAAAAGATTCTTTATAATATCTGTATTGTGAAATTTCTAGACTTTGGTGGGTATTTAAAGCTGCTTGTTTCAGCTTCATATGCTGGACAAGGATTCTTTTCTCTTGAACTTTAATAATAGTATAGGTACTCCTGTACCAACTTTGAGTTGATTATATGCTAAGCCTAACATTCTTCTTGCTCTTTGATCACTGACAGAGAAGTGGGTACTTCTGCAAGGAAAAGTTTGTTGTTCTAGGGTGTGAGGACAGAGCTATAAACCATAGTTCTTCAGTTAGATGGTAACGGCCCATAGGGCTTACTTCTTCTAGATTTATTGGTCCCACCCAATCACAGTGAAACCAGCAGAGTGGGGTTACCCCCCAATAGCCAAGTGGGGCTAACCCCCAATAGCCAGGTGGTTGTGAGTGAGAAGGCTGGAAAGTTGACCTCTGACAGGTGGGCAGACCCTGTAACCCTCCCCTAGAGCCCTGCTGTAAGCTTCGACTGGCTAGGCAGGATCCAGAGATAAGAGTACCTCTAGGGAACACAGTGCAGCTTGGGGCTTGACAAAATGCCTGCCACTTTTGCTCCATCCTGGGAGTGACCTTGAAGACTATTGATGTTGCTGGGAGTTGTCAATGTCCTCCAGTCAAAGAGCACCCGGAACACCCCTGCAGTTTAGCATTTGGGTTTATTGCTCCTAGAAAGGGGGAGACAGCATCCCATGGCATGCGTCTCAGTAACCATGGGGGTTTGAAAAGACTTACTACAGGATCTGGGCTGTAGTTAGTTCATTTTAAGGCGAGCTTAAGGAGGCAAGAGCTTGCTTTGGGCTGGAGGCTGTCGGGAAGCTGGGGCAATTCTGTGACTGGGGATCTTAATGAACCTTATCTAGAAGGAGGGAGGACTAGAGTAAAGCTAAAGCCGTAATTGGTAAAGAAGCAGCAGTCACTCCTGCTGGCCAGGCTAGGGCATATTTGGGTGGTCATTTTTGTGGTCTGGACAGTGTTTTTGTCTGTGTTCAGACATGATTACAGAGTGGACTTGTTTCTGTCTTGATCCATCCTGGTCTCAGGGGCCTTGTCTGATGTTTGTTCTGTGAAATTATGTTTGACCGGAGAACACCAAGGCCAGCTGTGAGTGCCCAGCATGAGGGGCTTCTCACACCTTTCTCCCAGTCAATCTGCAGTGGGGAGTGGAGTTCTTAAAGATCACTTGGGGCAATAGAAGAATGGGACTGTGGCTGGAAGGAGTGCCAGAGGGCTGTGCAGGGGGAGGAATGGCAGAAAGTCACGGACAGGCAGCAAACTGCATCCAGGAGCCAGAGGATGTGCTGGGTGGACACACAGAAAGCACACTTCCATGAGCGAGCTTGAGCCAGTAATGGAGGGCTCAAATGAAGCAGGAAGGCTCTGGTATGGAAGATTCTGAGAGAACCAGGAAGAGCTAGGGAAGGAATGAATTCTTAGGCAGGTATACTAAGGATCAGGCTTCTCCCGTTGCGGAGCACAGGCCCCGGACACGCAGGCTCAGCGGCCATGGCTCACGGGCCCAGCTGCTCCGCGGCAGGTGGGATCTTCCCAGACCAGGGCACGAACCCGTGTCCCCTGCATCGGCAGGCGGACCCCCAACCACTGCGCCACCAGGGAAGCCCCAAGATCAGGCTTCTTAGGATAGCTGAACTGGAGCAATCAGTTCAATAAAAGTGTATCATTGATTTGAACATGGAGACTTGAGCCTTCCGGCCTGCTCTTTTATATCCTGGAAAGTGTGGACTGCAAACCATTGAATGCTTTAAAAGATGTACTTTTATTACTTGATTGGTTTCAAAAACTTAATCTCCATTAGCCAGCACATTAATTGTGAACTAGGTTTATCACTCAGACCAGAAAATAAAACTAGTTGGTAATAATATCTTGGGTAGGGCGTAAGATTGCCAGATTTAGGAAAATATTAGAAATACACACACACACACACACACACACACATACACATATTTATAGATAGATAGATAAGTATAGGTATAGACATAGAAATAGAGCTCCAGTTAAAATTTGTATTTCAGATAAACAATGAACGTGTAATACTTAGGAATACTGAGGAGCTTCAAGATGGCGGAAGGGTAAGACGCGGAGATCACCTTCGTCTCCACAAATACATCAGAAATACATCTACACGTGGAACAACTCCTAAAGAACACCTACTGAACGCTGGCAGAAGACCTCAGACCTCCCAAAAGGCAAGAAACTCCCCACATACCTGGGTAGGGCTAAAGAAAACAAGAAAAAACAGAGACAAAAGAATAGGGACGGGACCTGCAGCAGTGGGAGGGAGCTGTGAAGGAGGAAAGGTTTACATACACTAGGAAGCCCCTTTGCGGACGGAGAATGCGGGTGGCGGAGGGGGAAAGCTTCGGAGCCGCGGAGGAGAGCACAGCAACAGGGGTGCGGGAGGCAAAGCGGGACCGACGGGCACTCACCAGCCCGAGATGCTTGTCTGCTCCCCCGCTGGGGCAGGCAGGGCTGGGAGCTGAGGCTCGGGCTTCGGTCGGAGTGCAGGGAGAGGACTGGGGTTGGCGGCGTGAACACAGCCTGAAGGGGGTTAGTGCACCACGGATAGCCGGGAGGGAGTCTGGGAAAAAAGTCTGCAGCTGCCTAAGAGACAAGAGACTTTTTCTTGCCTCTGTTTCCTGGTGCTAGAGGAGAGGGGATTAAGAGCGCTGCTTAAAGGAGCTCCAGAGACAGGCGCGAGCCACAGCTATCAGCGCGGACGCCAGAGACGGCATGACACGCTAAGGCTGCTGCTGCCGCCACCAAGAAGCCTGTGTGCGAGCACAGGTCACTCTCCACACCCCCTTCCGAGGAACCTGTGCAGCCCCCCACTGCCAGGGTCCCGGGATCCAGGGACAACTTCCCCGGGAGAGCACACGGCACGCCTCAAGCTGGTGCAACGTCACGCTGGCCTCTGCCGCCACAGGCTCGCCCCACATCCATACCTCTCCCTGCCCCCGGCCTGAGTGAGCCAGAGTCCCCGAATCAGCTGCTCCTTTAACCCCGTCCTGTCTGAGTGAAGAACAGATGCCCTCAGGTGACCTACTCGCAGAGGCGGGGCCAAATCCAAAGCTGAACCCCAGGAGCTGTGCAAACAAAGAAGAGAAAGGGACATTTCTCTCAGCAGTCTCAGGAGCAGCGGATTAAAGCTCCACAATCAACTTGATGTACCCTGCATCTGTGGAATACCTGAAGAGACAACGAATCATCCCAAAATGAGGAGGTGGACTTTGGGAGCAAGATTTATGATTTTTCCCCCTTTTCCTCTTTTTGTGAGTGTGTATGTGTATGCTTCTGTGTGTGATTTTGTCTGTATAGCTTTGCTTTTACCATTTGTCCTAGGGTTGTGTCTGTCCGGTTTTTTTTTTGTTTGTTTTGTTTTTTACCTAAAAATTTTTTTTCCTAATAATTATTTTTTATTTTAATAACTTTATTTTATTTTATTTTATCTTCTTCTTTCTTTCTTTCTTTCTTTTTTTTTCTCCCTTTAATTCTGAGCCATGTGGAGGACAGGCTCTTGGTTCTCCAGCCAGGCGTCAGGGCTGTGCCACTGAGGTGGGAGAGCCAAGTTCAGGACACTGGGCCACAAGAGACCTCCCAGCTCCACATAATATCAAACAGTGAAAATCTCCCAGAGATCTCCATCTCAACGCCAAAACCCAGCTCCACTCAACAACCATCAAGCTACAGTGCAGGACACCCTATGCCAGACAACTAGCAAGACAGGAACACAACCCCACCCATTAGCACAGAGGCTGCTTAAAACCATAACAAGGCCACAGACACCCCAAAACACACAACCAGATGTGGACCTGCCCACCAGAATGACAAGATCCAGCCTCATCCACCAGAACACAGGCACTAGTCCCTCCGCCAGGAAGCCTACACAGCCCACTGAACCCACCTTAGCCAATGGGGACAGACACCAAAAACAATGGAAACTACGAACCTGCAGCCTGTGAAAAGGAGACCCCAAACACAGTAAGTTAAGCAAAATGAGAAGACAGAGAAACACACAGCAGATGAAGTAGCAAGGCAAACACCCACCAGACCAAACAAATGAAGAGGAAATAGGCAGTCTACCTGAAAAATAATTCAGAATAATGGTAGTAAAGATGATCCAAAATCTTGGAAATAGAATGGAGAAAATACAAGAAACTTTTAACAACGACCTAGAAGAACTAAAGAGCAAACAAACAGAGATGAACAACACAATAAATGAAGTTTAAAATTCTCTATAAGGAATCAACAGCAGAATAACTGAGGCAGAAGAACGGATAAGTGACCTGGAAGATAAAATAGTGGAAATAACTACTGCAGAGCAGAATAAAGAAAAAAGAATGAAAAGAATTGAGGACAGTCTCAGAGATCTCTGAGACAACATTAAATGCACCAGCATTCGAATTATAGGGGTCCCAGAAGAAGAAGAGAAAAAGAAAGGGACTGAGAAAATATTTGAAGAGATTATAGTTGAAAATTTCCCTAGTATGGGAAAGGAAATAGTTAATCAAGTCCAGGAAGCACAGCAAGTCCCATACAGGATAAATCCAAGGAGAAACACGCCAAGACACATATTAATAAAATTATCAAAAACACAACGACCCAAAACCTATGGGATGCAGCAAAAGCAGTTCTAAGAGGGAAGTTTATAGCAATACAATCCTACATTAAGAAACAAGGAACATCTGAAATAAACAACCTAACCTTACACCTAAAGCAATTAGAGAAAGAAGAAGAAAAAAAACCCAATGTTAGCAGAAGGAAAGAAATCATAAAGATCAGATCAGAAATAAATGAAAAAGAAATGAAGGAAACGATAGCAAAGATCAATAAAACTAAAAGCTGGTTCTTTGAGAAGATAAACAAAATTGATAAACCATTAGCCAGACTTATCAAGAAAAAAAGGGAGAAGACTCAAATCAATAGAATTAGAAATGAAAAAGGAGAAGTAACAACTGACACTGCAGAAATACAAAGGATCATGAGCGATTACTACAAGCAACTCTATGCCAATAAAACGGACAACCTGGAAGAAATGGAAAAATTCTTAGAAATGCACAACCTCCCGAGACTGAACCAGGAAGAAATAGAAAATATGAACACACCAATCACAAGCACTGAAATTGAAACTGTGATTAAAAATCTTCCAACAAACAAAAGCCCAGGACCAGATGGCTTCCCAGGCGAATTCTATCAAACATTTAGAAAAGAGCTAACACCTATCCTTCTCAAACTCTTCTAAAATATAGCAGAGGGAGGAACACTCCCAAACTCATTCTACGAGGCCACCATCACTCTGATACCAAAACCAGACAAAGATGTCACAAAGAAAGAAAACTACAGGCCAATATCACTAATGAACATAGATGCAAAAATCCTCAACAAAATACTAGCAGACAGAACCCAACAGCACATTAAAAGGATCATACAGCATGATCAAGTGGGGTTTATCCCAGGAGTGCAAGGATTCTTCAATTTACACAAATCAATCAATGTGCTACGCCATATTAACAAGCTGAAGGAGAAAAACCATATGATCATCTCAATAGATGCAGAGAAAGCTTTTGACAAAATTCAACACCCATTTATGATAAAAACCCTGCAGAAAGTAGGCATAATAAAGGCCATCTATGACAAACCCATAGCCAACATCATTCTCAATGGTGAAAAACTGAAACCATTTCCACTAAGATCAGGAACAAGACAAGGTTGCCCACTCTCACCACTATTATTGAACATAGTTATGGAAGTTTTAGCCACAGCAATCAGAGAAGAAAAAGAAATTAAAGGAATCCAAATTGGAAAAGAAGAAGTAAAGCTGTCACTGTTTGCAGATGACATGATACTATACATAGAGAATCCTAAAGATGCTACCAGAAAACTACTAGAGCTAATCAATGAATTTGGTAAAGTAGCAGGATAAAAGATTAATGCACAAAAATCTCTTGCATTCCTATACACTAATGATGAAAATCTGAAAGTGAAATTAAGAAAACACTCTCATTTACCATTGCAAGAAACAGAATAAAATACATAGGAATAAACCTACCTAAGGAGACAAAAGTCCTGTTTGCAGAAAACTATAAGACACTGATAAAAGAAATTTAAAATGATACAAATAGATGGAGAGATATACCATGTTCTTGAAGTGGAAGAATCAACATTGTCAAAATGACCCTACTACTGAAAGCAATCTACAGATTCAATGCAATCCCTATCAAACTACCACTGGCAGTTTTCACAGAAGTAGAACAAAAAATTTCACAAGTTGAATGGAAACACAAAAGACCCCGAATAGCCAAAGCAATCCTGAGAAAGAAAAACGGAGCTGGAGGAATCTGGCTCCCTGACTTCAGACTATACTACAAAGCTACACTAATCAGGACAGTATGGTACTGGCACAAAAACAGAAATATAGATTAGTGGAACAGGACACAAAGCCCACAGATAAACCCACAGACATATGGTCACCTTATCTTTGATAAAAGAGGCAAGAATATACAGTGGAGAAAAGACAGCCTCTTCAGTAAGTGGTGCTGGGAAAACTGGACAGCTACATGTAAAAGAATGAAATTAGAACACTCCCTAACACTATACACAACAATAAACTCAAAATGGATTAAAGACCTAAATGTAAGGCCAGACACTATCAAACTCTTAGAGGAAAACATAGGCAGAACACTCTATGACATAAATCACAGCAAGATCCTTTTTGACCCACCTCCTAGAGAAATGGAAATAAAAACAAAAGTAAACAAATGGGACCTAATGAAACTTAAAAGCTTTTTCTCAGCAAAGGAAACCATAAACAAGACAAAAAGACAGCCTTCAGAATGGGAGCGAATATTTGCAAATGAAGCAACTGACAAAGGATTAATCTCCAAAACATACAAGCAATTCATGCAGCTCAATATCAAAAAAACAAACAACCCAATCCAAAAATGGGCAGAAGAGCTAAATAGACATTTCTCCAAAGAGGATATATAGAGTGCCAACAAACACATGAAAGGATGCTTAACATCATTAATCATTATAGAAATGCAAATCAAAACTACAATGAGATATCATCTCACATCAGTCAGAATGGCCATCATCAAAAAAATCTACAAACAATAAA